ACATATATCTACTGTGATACAGAGCATTAAAACAATCATCTTATAAAATTATATTGTACAGGGTGTCCAAATAATTGCAAATTCTTTAATAGCTAATATATATCTACTAAAAGCATTAAAAAAACTTTAAATATAAGAGGTATTTGGTATTTGAATTTGGTATTTGATTTAAAATTGTGCATCTTAAAAAGAAACCTTTTGTATTTTTGATAACTTTTGTTCTTTATTGTTCTTGTTCTACTAGAGTATTTAGATTAGACAACTTGTACCCTGTATTATAGCAATCTTCCTTACTTGACTTAGCACTATTCTGAATCGGATAAATTAGTTAGACTTGAAAGGCTATCTTCATTAATCAAAATTACAAGTGGTTCTACCTGAACCTCTATAATATTATCCAACTCCCACATTTTTTCCATTTTTCTGGAGAAATTAATAATATTACTTCTTCAAAAAGAATTTTAATGTCTCCAGATTTAAATGTTGAGTTTTTATCTGCTACGTATTGTTTAACGTCAACCTAGATTAATTCAATAGGGTTAAGTTCACAATGATACGGAGACATGTAAAGTATTATGTTGTTTTGCTGCTTAGCTATTTCATCTATTACATACCTATCATAATGTTTATGTTGCTTACCAAGTTTTAGAAGTTGGATCTTAAGCATTTGGTAGTCGAATTCAATTTTTTTCCCTTATAGCCATTTTTAAATATCACCTTTTTTAGACGTCGTAGATATTTTTTCCAGCTTTCTCGAATAATAATGCAGTTATCTTCTAATTTTGGTAGGGTGTTTGAAAACCACTCTTTGAACGATTCTCCACACATTTCTTCATGTTAGTCACTGGATTTTTCAACTCAAATACATAAAGTGCATTAGAGACAAAGCCTTCTTCACTTCCAATATGGCATATGATGAGCTGTTTTTACGCACATACCTGATGGGTTTTTAAAACCAGTTAAAATTTCATCCAAAAAGGCTTGTCTGGATGAAAAAACCGACATATCGAAACATACTTTTGATTTGGTGTGGCCTGCGTTAATCCAAGTCTCATCAAGATAATATATTTTTTGCTTTTCTTCTCTGTACCGTTTTATTTTTTGTGGCGTAGGACGAAACTAACAACAACCACAAAAACAAAAAAATAAATAACACAATATAAGTATATCTAAACTATAATATAATGAATTATAATCAATCAAACATACAAAATGTCCAAACTAACCAACACGGTGAATGCTACCAAAACGCCGTTTATAATTATCCAAATTGAACTGAATTCGACTCTGACAAAAAATATTTGCGCGTCGTCTAAATGATTAACGACCGATTAACCAATAGAAGCGCAAAAAAATGTCACGTGAGCTGTTGCTGGATGAGAGAAATTGTTTTGACGCGGCGTAAATGGAATCTGAATAGACTTTAGTTTATTATTAGTACCTATGTATTATGTATGACCAGTTAAATAGTAAAATAAATACATATAATGATAAATTAACTGTGAATTATTTCATTTACGTTGCGTTACGTGGCTTCCGTGTGGGTAGCTCGCTGTTTATTCCAAAATTAACAAAGTAGCTCAACACATTGAGAGGTTGGCGACCACTGATCTAGAGCATTTGTTTATCCACATCGTACACATCTACTACATTTACATCTGCATTTGTTTATCGGGGATGTAACTGTCCAGATTACATTTTTTACATCTCGATTTGAAATGAGATGTGAATGAAATGTTTATTTCATGCCAAAAAGTAGGTGTTCTGTGAGGCCAAGTTTATCAATTTCTCCTTTGTTTATACCAGCGTGACCCAGCTAGCACAAAAACATCCCATCTACGTTAATAAGCTGCAATTTTAGGCTCTTTAAGCTCGCATGCAATGTACTGTAAATGTAACCCTTATCTCCCTGCAACTACCGAATGTCCGCAACGGCAAGACTTTTATAGCACATCTCACAGAAGTTACAAAGTGAAGTTCGAAAAACATCACACTAGCACTTTTACGGTACTTACCCCGAAAGTTGCTCTGAAACGTTCTATTGATGTTATAATGTGAATTAGATCTACAGCATTATACAGTGTGTCCACGGATGGGCTTAACTATACTTGTGAAAATATTTATTTTAAATTAAAAAAGTAATTCTTCATAATTTCTTGCTTGTTAAATAAATTCGATTCACATTGAGAAATTATGAAAAATAACTTTTTCTTTAATTTAAAATAAATATTTTTACAAGTATAATTAAGTCCATCCGTGGACACACATTGTGTAATGTAATACAGAGAGGCTGAAATTGAGGCTATAGTAAAATCTCAATCGAGACATGAAAATTTCAAATAAAACAAAATATTTATATAAATTTATTATTAAAATGTTCTTGAAATCAAGTACCAATAGCACAAAAGTAGAGGTAGGTGTAGGCGTGTTCTTTTATTCAGTGCTGTATCCAGCGCTTGCAGCAAACCGTTCGTAAATTAAGTGATGGAAAGACGATTGTATGTGTCAATCATTCTTTTTTCCAGCGGTGAGTTCACCAATGAGCCAAGGCATCCATCGACTTTAAAAGCCGATGGATATGTGATAGACGAATGGTGAGGATAATCAATCATTTAAGTTAACCTAAAATATAAGAGTTCAAATATAAAACGACTGCAGAAAAGATAAATTACATCAATCACTGATGGAACAATTATTGAATAAAAGAACACAAGTACACATGTGGGATAGAAGAAGCTACCTAGAAAGCACTGAACGATTGGACAAAATTAGCTAAATAGTATAATAAGGTACCAATATTGCAAAGGTTCACTAAAACCTTAAATGGTGAACGATGATAAAGCTAGATTGGTGAAAAATAATAAACGAATACAACAATGACTAGGTACATATTATTATATTAGATTACTAGAGGATAGCTAAGTTCGCTGATTTCTTACCTAAGACGCAGAGATATATCTTTTTTAAATCAAGCCTTTTAACTTTTTTTGCATAGATATTTATAAAGTGCTATAATGTAACCTAAATATGACAATTTATTAGAAGAGCATAAATTATATTTTTATATAAAAATATTTTACTTCTCAATACACTGAATAAAAAAGAAATTGATAACTTGTTTACCTATTATTAATTAAAGGAAATTATATAGAAATTAAAAAATATGCCTTACTTTGTTGTTTTAAATAAAACAACCAATGTTAGTGTATTGAAATTTGTTTGAATTTTACAAATTTTATGCTTGATTTCCAAAGTAGATATATCGATGGCTCAATCAAAAACCGTCACAAGTCAAAAAACAAAGCAATTACATTTTTGGTTCAATGGATGCAAAACATCATTACGGTTTTACTTTAAATACCACCACAAACAAAAATATCCTTAAAGATAAATCATTTAAAATGTAGCCACAAACTGTGTCTAAAACTGCCTCAATTCGAGTTATTTTCTTCAAAAACACCCCAATTTTTTACAACTATGCAACAACTCACTTTTATAATCGTAATCATTTTATTTAACAGCAAAATATCGAAGCTTTTAAATAAAATATAAAGAGTATGTCAAAAACAAAATAATGATAATAGAGACTTACAAAATTTCAAAATGAAATTTCTTGAAATAATAGTATTTTAGTTGTGGCAGTATTTGATTGAGCCATCGATATGTAGATTTTATAAAAAACAACTGGTGTTTTTAAGCAAGATATTCTATTATACTCGAGAGTATCATCTATGATTTCTCTCAACTTTTCTGCTGGGTTTTCACTTGAACTGATGGTTGCATTTCCAGGCAATCTAGCCTGTTGAAGAGAATGAACTGCTTGAATTCTGATATACCTGACATATCATGTACCTATAGATTCACTTTTTATAAAACTTCAGGTGTTATATTCTTCTTTACACTTCTGTAGTATTTACTTTTGCTTCTAAAATTCCTAGAATGTCGAAGGAAACCTAAAAAATAATATTTTTAAAATGTATTTTTAGTTCGATAAAGTATAATTACCTTTTATAAGTATTTGGTGTAAAATGTTGCCGGACATTCGGTTAAATGTTTATCTTTTGGTTTACAACGATTGATCTGCAATTCTTTGTTTTTATTGTAGTTTTTTTTTTTTATTTGGTGTCATCGGCATCGACTGCTAAAGATACTTAATGAATGAAATAATAAATTTACATCAGGCATTGTAATCTGAAACAAAGACAATGGTTTAGAAAATAGTTATCTATTTTATAGAGGATCCTTACCAAATCTATTCGAATGTATAAATAATAATTATTTATAAAATAAATTCTGGATGTCGAAAAATAAACCATTAAAAAAGACAATTGACAAGAAAAACTGACAAGTGACAATTGACATAAAACTAAACGTTCTGAATTCAGATTTGTAATGTTTATGGTAGGTTAACTAGGTAAATAACAAATAGAAGTTTTGCGAGGTATTGATTTCCCAATCAACAACTTCTCATGAACGTTGCATTTACGTTGTACAGTAATGTTATTACGTTCCCTTAATGCAACATCGCCGAAAGGCTTGGCAACGTTATGTGCTAGCTGGGGAATATGAAAGTGATTGGTTTGTTTAATTTTGGTTTAGATTTAAAATTTAGGTTGATTTCTAGTCTCAAATTTAAAAATCATAATTTTCTAACTTGTCATTGTCATTTTATCACGTGACCAATAAAGTCTAGAGCGTTTATTACATCTACATTTAAATCTAATCCAATCACGTGATAAAAAATTCACATCTAAGATGCATCTGATGTAGATATTCAAACGCAGCAAATGTAAATAAACAAATATCCTACTTATAGGAGGTGACAAGTGACAGGTGCGCGAAAATTAATTTGAATTGTGAATAGAGAGTTGATGCCTAAAATCATGCATTTTTTTTTATAAAGTGTCCAAAGACCAAAATTTACAACAAATACCTCTGTAATTTTTTGTATCACATATTACGTGCATTTGTAATTTTTTTATCTTCAAAATCTGTTACAGGTCTACAAAAAGATCGAAGAGGTCTACGAACACATCGACAAAAAGATCCTACCGAAAGAATATGGCGGCGAAGTACCGTTGAAAGAGATGCTGGACAAATTCAAGATATTTTTAAAAGAAAAACGCGAATCTGTGTTAGCTCTAGACGACATGTACATTGAAATAGACGAAAAAACTTGCTCTCTAGTGTCGGAAATGAACGAAGAGCTTGGAAGCGGCGTTGAGGGTTCTTTCAAAAAATTAACTGTCGATTAACTATATCTATTGTATGTGAAAACACATTTTTTCTGAAATGGAATATTTAATAAATATTAGTAGGTAATATATTTTTTTTAGAATTACGTTGGCAGACTAAATTTTCCGTTCTTTACATCTATTTTATTAAAATAGGAGTTTTCATAAATCCGACATCTATACGTAAAAGCGAAAATTGAATTGAATAGTTTAACAGAATTAAAGTATTCTTTAATCATGTATTTACTTAGATTTCCAATAGGTGTCACTAGTTGTATTAAAATATAAATAAATCAAATTGATTTCAAATTTTACATTTTCAGTTGCAAATTTGCGTATAGTTTTTCTATTTAATGCTTTACAATAATTAATTCACATCAGTTTATCCATTTTTTTAAATACATTTTAATATATTTCAACTTGATAATATCATCGAGAGCACTGTTAGTTGTCGGGAGTAAAAAGAATAAAATACTTCATTAAGCTACCATCCGGAAGATGGCAGACGCTTCAATTTTATGGTTTTAAATATTCAATTATGCTTGAAGTTGAATTGATATTTTTTTTGAAAAAAAGTTTTTGCTTTGAAGAGTTTTCTAAGTTGTAAGGTCCTGTTGTGTAGTTTTTATTAACATCAAAATGCTTATCATGACAAAAATGGGGTTATGATAGACAAACTGATGTTATTTTTAAACAGGTTGTAGGTAATTTACCTATGGTAATTTATGTGTGTTGTGTGTTTATAATAAAAATAACCTATATGTACCTGTTAAAAGTAAAACAGGTTGTCAATAATAACCCCTAGAATACCTGTAGTTTTTAAGTGAATCTAAAATAAAAGTATATTGTGATTACCTACTATAAAAAATAATTATTATTGTGATATCATTTTGTACTTAACATAGTTTAAATAATATTAATAATAATGCACCAAGCACAGTTATATGTTATACCTACCTATCGACACTATTTATACCTATAGGTATTTTAATCGAAAAAGTAAAATCAAACAATTTCTTTAATGACTATAGGTACTTAAATATTATAGGTACCTATTAGGTAAAATGAAAAATAGGTTCTAGTCATTATTTCTTCTTACTAGATGCCTAAATAGCCCTAAATAGGCAATTATGTAGCCATGCTATTTAAAATGGGTTAAATTAATAAAATTGACGTTTCGAATAAGTTTGTAATAAAATTTAGGTAGGTAGAATATTTGTTTTAAAACAAAATAAATTAATTGAAATGACATTTTTTTATCTTTGTTGTTTTAAAAAAGTGTTAAGTTAAAAGTTTGTAAAATGTTTCTAAAACCGAAAAAAAAAGAGTTATGTAATAATTTGTATATAATCGCCCTTTGGTGGTGTAAGTTACCGAAAACGTATATGTATAATAAATGTTTTATAAAATAATAAATTGTGGTTTAAAAATTGCTTTTTATCTATTTTTACATTGTTATAATATATCTAACAATCAGTAAAGTTTTTACATTGTTATAATGTATCTAACAATCAGTAAAGTTTTTACATTGTTATAATGTATCTAAAAATCAGTAAAGTTTCTACAGACGCATATTTACTGCGCACATTGACATTGTTATGGTGTAGAGGTGTTGCCAAATTTCAAACATTTTCCACGCGTTAAGCGAAAATTTTTAAATCCATTTTTGACTAATATTTATTTCCATGATTTATTTAATGAAACTAAAAATTAAATATATTAGAAACCGAAATTACCTATCATGTACCAAGAGTTACAGTGTTGTCATGTTGATAAAATAAATTTAGCTCCCGGAAAAATTAAATTTTTTCATGTTGAAATATTGAAATAGTGTGAAACATTACAGATTGTTAAATACCCTATTTATATTTATAGTTACTTAATGTTATTGTTTAGGTTAGGTTTGTTGACATATTATTTAGCTTTATACCTACGGGTAAAATTGTTTTCGATTGTTTTGTTTAATTTCAACTTGTTTTTTGTTTCTTATTATGTTTATGGTACTATTTAATGTTTGGCACGAAGCGTTAATAAAATTTTCACACCAATTTCGTCTTTTTTATCTTCATCTACTAGGCAATCCAGGCTTCTAAAAGATACAATTTTATGATCGCTTCGTCTTCAAGAATACAATCAAATTCCTTAATTTTGGAGTAAGTTCAAGGTAAGAAAATATCGTAATAAAAAATAGGAGTCCTGATAAATGATTTCGGTAACCTATAATGAATATTTTGTGTAATTTTTGATGGATTTTCTCCAAAATCTTTGTAATGCGCTTGCGTCAGACAATACAAATATGTCCATTGGACGTCCATTCGATATACAATTTTGGATGTCTAGACGTCCAACAATGAGTTTTTTTTTTGGACTTCCGACATCCAATGGACGTCCAGTGAAGTATACAAATGGCACACTTTTGACCATTCAGAGGACGTCCAATTCTGGAATATATTTGAACGTCGAATACTGGACATTCAAAAACGTCCAGGATTATATTTCCATTGAGACCACATCCCCACTTTTTTTACAGAACCGCAACTCATCACACACTATTTTATATTATTAATAATTTGTTTATTATTTTCGCAAATCGCTATACACCATTTCTTTTTTTTTATTAATTAAAGATCGCTTGACCTGAGCAGATATCGAACTCACGACACATCCATTATCGTTTTACGCTTTCAACCGCTAGACTTTTTACTAGATATAGTTATAATGGAATAAGATTTCAAACTTCCGCTGATAGAATAAAATGCAATAGATTCAATTTGTTAATTTTTAATGACGAATTATATTAAAAAAAAAAGAATTGTGTATAGATGGATATTATCTGGTAGGCTTGATAAATAATGACGTAAGATGGACGTCCGCTGGACGTCAAAATAATACTAAACTTAAAATTAAGTCCAAAAACAGACGTTCTCTGAGTATCTATGTTCAGCTGTCAAATTAATTAGCATAAACGGACGTACACTGGATGCCCGGATATGGACCCTCAAATGGATCTAAAGTGGACGTCCATTGGACTATGTGTGCTGTCTGAGCATAGACGAGATTTTAGAAATAGTACTTATTTAAGTATGTACTAATATTTCCAAAATCAACTCCAGTACGATTTATTCAATAAATGTAAATATGAATGGGCAGAACATCTTTATATTGACATAATTGTAACTTACAATTTAGACATAATAAAGGGATTTCGCCCACTTTGACCAATTCTAATTGAAACACGCGGATTTATTATATTTTGTTAAATATAATTTCAAAATAAAATAAACAAATAAACATATATTTCACAAAATCCAATACCTACATATGAAAAATAAAATGTCAAAAATGAATAAATCAATATACTTAATATTTATGCATGTGATAAAATTCTTAGTTTCCTAATAACTTATTTGGTACATTTTATATCTGTATTAGAATGCCTAAGTGTGTAAAAAATCTTTTTCTTATTACTACACAAAACAAACACCAAAAAATATCACTTAACATTGCTCACGTACTAAACACTACTTGACAGATAATATCATTTTGAGTGATACACAACTTATTTTCGCACATGCGCGTTACAAAACGGTACACTGAAAACACCAAGCTGTCGCTTCTCCTTGATCGGTATTCTCGAGTATTAATCCAACCAGTTAATGTTGACAAAATCGGGCGTTATTTGGTTTTATTAATAGCCTACTTTTTTTTAATAAGATTTATCTATGACTACACTTGCATTCTTGTTTGATATGTTTTGTAACGATATCAGGGCCGCCGAGAGCCAGGTGGGGCCCCGGAACAATTTTCCAGGTGGGACCCCGTGACAATTTTATAAAAAAATTAGGCCCTTTCACAATATTTCTTAAAAAAAAAACAAAAAAAAACAAAAAAAAACAAAAAAAACAAAAAAAAAATGGTCCTCATCTTCTATTTTACAAAAACAAGCGCTCCTCCCTTTTGTGGCGAACTTCTAAAAAGATAAAACGAGCTCACCTAAAGAAACCGGGCCCCCCTTGTGCCGCTACCGCGCCCCCACTTGTGACCGGGCCCCGGAATTTTATCCCGGCTACCCACCCCCTCTAATAGGCCCTGAACGATATAGAAAAATTGATACTGTCAAATAAAACAATGAAAATTATACCAAATGTTAAGCTTGATTTTTCATTTTTATAGAGAAATCTTTTAACGAATTCTTACATTAAAATGCGAATATTACATTAGGTCGTTAAATACCTATTTTCTACGCCCATGTCAATTAACCTTAAAAATTGCACTGTCAAAATTTCTTGTAAATGACATTTAACGAAAACATGTATGTTATGAGATCTCATAACATACACGTGCGTTTTGATAAGAAGACTTAAATTTCTTAGTTTAATCAAATTACAATAAAATTTTTATCTACGTTCGACTTTATTTGGTCTATTTACATAAATTTAATCAATTAAAAAACATAAAAACTTTCAGCTTTAGCTAGATACATTTTGGATTAAAAAAATAACGCTCCTAAATGTGCGCAACACATTATTGTCAATTTTTGCAACAAAATATTATTGTATTCGAACATTTTCTCAACTTTACCTACAAATATATCTGTTAGTAGTGAAAGTTATGAAATTATGAGCACTCCACCGGAGATCTTAGAAAAAGCTCAAGCTGCCACACATAATTTGTTACCCCTAAAGTCCAAAGAAAGGTACAAAATTACATATCGAAAATTTATGGATTGGCGACACATACATATGTCCTTTATTTAATAGAAGAAAATAAGTGGGCGTAGAAAAAGTATAGTTCGTTACACGAGTTGTAAGCCCATTACGCACTTGTGAAATTTACGGGTTACTTACAACTCTTGTTACGTAATATACTAATAAATTTCTTTATATACCTACAACTGTATTTTAAGACTAACTAAAATTACCCGTGAGACCAACGCTGAACGTATATGTGTTTGTAAAAATAAAACTCCAAATTAATTAAACATAAAATATTCTCAACTGTTTAATGATGCAGCCTTGTCTAAAAACGAGACGCAATGCACATGCTCAGTAGTGCCGCAAGAGCTGCTTATTGGTGCCAAAAGTTAATTATGATATTGGCTGTATAAATATGGTGGGGTCGAGCATCGAGGGGTATTAAATCGACCTTTAAATGTGGCTCACATTAAACATTACACATAGGTTGCCTACTTATTATTATAGCCGTTTTGATCCGAAAAAATGGCGAAAAACTCAAGAAAATAATCGGTGAACTCAGTGGAAAGTTCGTTAAAGAACTTATCACGAAAAGTCGTGAATAATTGAATTCCATGCCCATTGGTGGAGGTAGTTCTGCAGTTGCTGCTGCAGAGCAGAAGAAAGAAGACAAAAGAACGATGAATTCGAACCAGAGAATGACGATATGCGCATTGGTCTTTTCGACTAGAAATATAATTGTTATTTTATAAGATTCAACGCAACTTTTGTAAAAGTAAGTAGTATAATTTTTTCCCTACAATTTTGTAAGCTGCTTCTTGGTTAATGCAATTTTCGAAGCACATGTATTAAAAAAAACTTTCCTCTATTTGATGTACATTGACAAGGGTTATTTATGCAATTTGATAAAAATGATTAGGATTTGAGGTACGATATCTTTTCAGCCGTTGTTACACAATAAAGGAAATCAATACAGAGCTTTTAGTCCAGGATCCGTAAGTAAGGTCGACCTTCACCCATCTGTTTAATGGATGAAAGTTGTTTTTTATTAAATAAAATGAGTTTTTAATTATACCGCAAATGGGTTGCCTAAGATAATACAGTCATGGCCATTTTTTACTTTTCTTTCTGTGTATAGATAAGAAAAGTATGCGAATCATGATAAAAGTTGCTTATGATGTCATTCTCTATTATTTTGTCCCTATACATGATTTCCCTAAAATTGACCTAATTTGAGATATTTGAGAAAAAGTGCAAATTTAACGCTAACTGGTGACAAAAATGTGAACTTTATGGGGGGTATTTATTAATGTTTTATACGGCATTTATTGTTTAATAATTATTAATAAAATGAAGTCGAATTATATTCGTAATATCAATATCGAAAAAACTTGCTGCATCCGTGGATGTACAAACACATCACTTTGGAAACCTGGATTTCATTCGATAGTAAAGAAATTTTATAAATTTCCACAGAGCACAATTATGCCTCACACCCAATGATATACATAATTACAAAGATTGCTTATCCATATGTAAATCAGACGACGAAAAGCTTATTTCACTGGGCAAAGTTTTCTTTTTATCTAGCTTGTACCAGTTTTGAGCACATAGTTGTAAAGAAATCATTTACAGAACCGGTTTAGAAATTATAATCTTTAGTGTTTTCTTGTCATTAAGATTTTTACATATTTAAATGAACATTTTATATAAATATAATTTTACAGATAATCGTTTATTCTGTTGATTAAAACTAATGTAGAATGTTATTAGAGAGTTATTGCAAGTTCACTTAAGGTCAGTCACTATTAGTGCCGCTCTTATTTTGACATCTGAGCATGCGCAGATCACTAACTTTAATAAAGATTGTGCCTGTCCTAAATAGAGAGATATTGCAAATTTCTATAAAGCCAGCCACTAAACTTTAAATCATAGTTAATCTTTTTTGTTGTCTATAATATTAAAGAGGCATAACAAATTATAATTTTAGAAGGTTTAAATGACGAATATAGTAAATATTTAATAATTAAAAACTTCTAACGGATACGAATGTCGGCGAGCGCATCCGAAAACTATAAAGTCGCCACTACCTGCTACCCTTAAACATCCACAATTAAGGACAGGCACAATCCTTAATAAAGTCAGTTTTAGAACATAAACATCTACGCATGCTTAGATGTCAAAATAAAAGCGGCCCTAATAGTGACTGACCTTAAGTGAACTTGCAATAACTTTCTTATTAAGGACAGGCAGAATCTTTATTAAAGTTAGTGATCTGCGCATGCTTAGATGTCAAAATAAGAGCGGCACTAATAATGACTGACCTTAACTGAACTTGCAATAACTCTCTATTATGAAATAAGAATGTCTAATTTGACAAAAATATCACGGCCCTCT